TTGAGACATTCCATTCTTTATTTAATTCAGTATTAAAAAAAATGTTTCCTTGAACAATACCCGTTGATTGAATTAACATAGAGGCAAGGCGCTTGAAAGAAAGTGAACTTACCTAGAGAATTGTTAATTATTACTTACCTTATTAATAAATACGCCATGCGTATTTCTCTTAAACTTTAAAGGTGTGTTTTGTATTTACATAGATATATAATGTTTATATTTGTTTGTTGTTTTATTTATCAAACACCTGTTACAAAAACAAAATATTATTATCAGACTTTCGCTGAAATACAGTAATTTAATATTTTAGCAAGTAGGGCACTTGAACCACGCACGTTTTCACAAAGTAAAAATAACCAAAAAATGCACATATAATTATATGTATGTACATGTATATGTAAGGAAACACGATATTTTCATCAAATTAATCCATTTCCAAAATTAAACACAAGCAAGTTAAATCGATATTCACTTTAAACACCCAAACTATAAGTAAGTCCCTTATTTTTCAGGCCACATCGTCTTAAAAACTTAATAGATAACCCTAACATAACAAATATGGCTAATAAATAAGACATTTTAAGGCCCTTGCCGTCGTCCTGTTGAGGAACTGCTTCCAGGACCGCCGAAAGCCAGGTGGGGCCCTGGGACAATTTTAAGAAAAACATTAAGCCCTTATTTTTGCTCACCTAAAACTACTGGGGCCTCTCTTGTGCCCGGGCCCCAGGAATTTGTCCCACCGCCCCCTCTCGTCGGCCCTGACTGCTGCCTGGGTCGTTTCAGATTTTTCAGCTTAACCATCGTATTTGTAATTCTTACATATAAATGTCTGAGTGTGTTTAAAAAAACATATAAAAAAGAAAAAATATCTATAAAGTTCATTGAACGGTTCTCTTTTTCTATGTATCTTTTGACATTTTTGACCATCTAATGTAAACATTTTAAAAATCAAATATTGGTTTACAATTTTTGCTTTTCTTTCTTGTTTCTTTTATTTAAATAAATATAATAGGTGGTACTTTTTTAATTTTATTTATTTCAATAATACATCAATTCAAAAAGTAATAAAAAATTAATTATAAGGAAAAAAATTGTTATATGGTAAAAATCACATACATAAAAAATCAAAGTGATGCTTCTTAATTTCGCTTGGTCTAAAAATGTTTTGTATTCCTTACGAATTCCGTTTTTATTTACTAATAAAATATTCTGACCAAGAAAACGTGCATTGAACTCAAAATGCAATGTCAACATTTTATTTTAGCATTGGATCTATCCCAAGGTATGATGACTAGTAACAGAGTTTATTTTCGATGCTTTAAACAATTTTATTTTTAATATTTAAACGTTACATTGGCAATTTAAAGGTTTTATTTTTATTTTTTAACATTAAAATAAATAGAAATCTTCAGAAAAACATGTTAATTGACTTCTTCCTCACTAAAAATATGTCTTAAAACTAACTAAATAACACGTAGATATTTTTGAATAAAAATAAATTACGGGATAATTTTTTATTATAAATATATTTTAGATTTTCCGTAAATTAATTTCTATTTTGAAAGTGTATACATCTAAATTGCCTTTTATGAATTATCGTCCTCGAAAGTAACATTTACACAGAAGAACTTGCAGGAAAAGTTAGCTTTAACGTTTAGCCACTCTGCATACAAGAAAAACGATTTTATAAGTATAGGTCTTGCTAATGATAATTTAGGAATTTTAGCAAATAAAATGACAAATATTTCATATTTATAGAATTAGGTCAAGGCTGGAGACTACAGCAGCTGATATTCGGCCTTGATTTCATTCACCACTAACCCAGGTCATGTCAATTTTTCTTGTATTGATGTGGTTTGATGTGTATCGAATTTACAGCATTTAAATTTCTGTTGATGTAATATCCACATCCGTTGTCGGTTTGGCTTCCAGTTTTTCCTCACCATCAATCATCTATAAGTCTATAACCATCCCTCCTTAATACAATCCCTGCTTCTGTGGTTCCCTGAAAAAGTATTTAATTTTATGAAGATAGAAATAAGTTCTAAGTTATTAATATCTTGCGTTTCTTTTGAGACACCCTCTATATTATTAGAATGAGTTATTATTTACTACACTGTAATTTAGATGTATAATTTTTTTCTTTTTGCGAATACTTGCCTATCATTTTCTCAGGCAAATGTTCAAGATCGATTAGATAAAATTGTGGGTGCTTCAGCATATGATTTTATAAATGTGTAATTATTTATACACCTACAAAATTTAATTGCAATAGGTATTCACGAATACTATTGCCAATCCTTATCATTTCATCATAGTCCAATTAATATTCCAATCATCTTCTGATGTTGATTGATACTATCAAGAGAATGTAACAATTATCTTATAAAATTCAAATTATTCGCTCATAGCAACATTGTAGATAATTTGTCTATGATAGGGATCTTAATTTGTACGTTTAATATATACTGATTAATCAAATGTCAAATTATTAGAAATAGTATAGTATTAGCAATAATTCCTTAATTATTACTATATCACAATATTAGAAAGACTGTTACTTGGCGCAAGACCTTTACTAGCCTTCTAAAGCAAAGATTAATTATATTACTACTATATTTTATCACAGTGTCTAGGTACACGCTAACTTGTACGCAATTCAAAAAGTTATATACACGCGAAACGTCTTGACAGAGTATGTGAACTGTGTCTATGCCGTTGATGTTTATGCCGGTCGGCGTAACTAGGTATGGATTGAAATTTTCTGGTGGCGGCGAAGCCGCCACCCTACGAGAAGTCGTTGCTTCGTTTTCTTGTTGTCATGGCATTATTATTATTATTTGTTTATGTATGTGAAATTTGCTTCTAAGGTTTATAAAATACTACTGCTCGTCACGGCGTAAATGAAAACAAACAAGACGCATTCACATAAACACCTCCCACGACAGCAATATGACGTTTTGCGTGTATATAATTTTGTGTATTTGTGTATACTTTAGCGATATTTTATCAGTAGATCTATGTCACATCATGTTTTCTTTTTTTTGAACTTGAAGATGTGATCTAATAAAAGTATGAATGACATGAGACATCAACTGTCGAAATTTTGTCAGGATCGTACATTTTAATTAACCTTTTAGCAACCGGTTGTAAAGAATAATAATTTAAAATAGATCTAATAAATATTTAAAGATTGTAAATCCGTTTTTTAATCTTTGAATCGAGAACGCTAACTTAATTTTATTTGAAATTTATTTTAAGGGATAAAATGAAGCAATTTGGAAATAATAAAATTTTATTTCTCTTATTTTTGATATAATAGTAGAGTGTTAACAAATTTATCATTTTATTATCTATTCACCACACAACAGGCGGTGGGTGATAAGAATAGATCATTGTTTCATTTCTTGGAATCACAATGTTATCATATGTACACACAAACGTAATTTTAATAAAATAACTTTTTCGATTAAAAAAATGATTATTAACTGAATAACAGGTTTTGTTAGGTTTCTATGGATGTAATGTCTAAAATATTCCACGGATAGTATTTATGTAGTGGATAAAATACAAAAAGTTAGAGAAATTTGCGAGATCTTCTAAATATATTAGTTTAACCGATAGGAAGCGTGTGCTGATATACCCAATGTATTACTAATTAATATTTAATAAGTAAACAAAAAATATATAACTACTATATTCAGGAGGTGGGATCTGTCAGAGTAAATTGGCTTATCGACGGATTTTTCGCTTTTTGTTGGCTCTGTAACAATTTAAAAATCACTTTGCAAGCATTTTCTATCGTCCGGTTTTGCTACTTCCGGTGTAGATATTTACGATTTTCTACGAAATTCGGTATATAGCTTAAACACTTTTTTTTCGGAATCTGAGATGATATTACAAGGAATTAGATGAGGGGCTATTATGATGACCTAATTATCCAACAAATTATTATTATTTTTTTGAGTTTACCTTTCATAAGAAAATTTTTGTAACGATTCAAAGCACAGATAATTATTTATATTAAAATTATAAGAAGATACGAAATGTCAATATGTATTGCAAAAGTAATATCAATTTGCATCCACTTTACGAGTTTTTTAATTATGTGCTCATAAAACACCCGTTATCGTCATTGTTTCATGTTTTTTGTATTAGCAAATATCTTGTCGACCTTGACAGTGAACTGTCGAATTGTAGTATTTTTGTAGTAGAATATAAAATCACATGTCATGAGAGTATTGAGGGCTGTAGTAGAATAGTTTTATTTAGTTTTGTAATGGACTATAACGGTAAAATATTTGACAAAGTTATAACATTGCGTAGTTATTCTATAAGGCCATTTTGCGCGGGATTATTCATCAATAATGGTTTTTTTTTTCCCAATTTTCTTCTAAATTGTGTAATTAAATGTATAAGTTAATGTTTGTTTTTAATGAATACCATTATTGATTCTTTGTAAATAGGATTAAAAAATCCTATACATTATCATAGTTCAATAACCAGAAATTAGGTAAAATAATTTCTTCTAGATAAATAAATTATAAAAGCCCAACATTACAGTATTTAATAAATCTGCTGATAAGTATCGATAAAATTTCATCTGTATCGATGGAATCTTCTGATGGTGTTTCCAAAACACGTAGGAGGGAATAAAGCCAAATTTAGTAAAATTATAATGGGTAAAAAAAATTATACCTAGCCATTAATAATTTTTAAATTTTTAACTATAACGTATGTCGGAAACGGGTAACAGTTTATCTAAGCATATTTCGTGTAATCGTTCTATTTTTAATTAGATAATCTTTTGTTGCCTTTATTTTTAATGGAGTACCCTGTATATTGTAAAGTTACTGTTTTATGGCGAGTGTCAACATTCACAACATTCAAAAATATCTTTATTTTTTTCATTACATTTTATTTTTACACTTCTATACAATTTTATCGTCAAAATATTTTTTTATTATAACAATTTTTTTTTTTTTTTTAATTTGTTACAGGTTGTGAACAGTACTGATACGATTGTACTTAATGCTTTAGATTTAAAATTAGAAGATGTCAGTTTGAAAGGAGACAAATTAGTGAGTGCAGAAAAAGTAGAATTATGTACGGAAGAAGAAACGGCATGTATAAAATTCCCTACGATCATTTCTCCCGGTCCCTATACTTTGGACATCGCGTTCACAGGCGAAATCAATGACAAAATGAAGGGACTCTACAGGTGAATAAAATTAAATCTTTTAGCGAAATATACATATGGGTACGCATTTTGTGTTATTGAAGAACAGTAAAGTGACATTTATTTATTTGTCCTGTTGCAGGACAATCCATTATATAAGTTAATTACAGTAATATGTCGAAAATTTTCGGAAATCATAATCGTTGTTCTACACGAAATAAATAAATAAATGTAGAACAACCAGATATTGAGACACTTAGTTTGTTAAACTTAGTCAAGTAGTCATAAATGATACTATAAATTTTAAAAAACCTTGCTCTTATCTCCAGCTACAAACTTAATATTATTAAAATAAATACAATCGAAGCAAATAAAAAAAAAAAAAACAATTTTAAATGAATTATCTGCACAATTATTTATTTTGAAATACTTAGAAGTTTAAACAGTTGTCGCCAGATATATTCTGACGGGAGTTATAGTTTAATGTAGAGGGACATTTGTACTATATTTTACGGATCTATTGTAATTGCAGTTTTCGGATTTTGGCCAAGTATTCGGGAAAATACACCACTGTTCATCGCCAAACTCTAGTTTTTCTTTGAATTGACGTTTCTACATTTAAAATTTTAGCTACGGGTAACTTTTTAAAAATCTAACGCCTTTTACTATGATGATTTATACTTTCATTGGATATACTCTTATTTTAATATAATGTTTTTGTATGTATTCCCTATTACTCTCTCTCTTATAGGAGCAAATATGTAAATGAAAAGGGCGAAGAAAGTTTCACAGCAGTCACACAATTTGAATCAACTGATGCACGTCGTTGTTTCCCATGTTGGGACGAACCTGCACATAAAGCTACTTTTGATATAAGCCTCACTGTACCTAAAGATTTAGTTGCCTTATCAAATATGCCAGTGAAAACCAGTGCACCACTTGGTGATCTCATAAAGTAAGTACAAAGCCAGTGTAAATAAAAGAAAATGTATATTTATCTTTATCATTGTATTAATAAAACATGTTAAAACATTGCCAATTGTAATTTAACACTTTTAATTGGATCATTATATTAATAAAACATTTCCAATGATAATTTAACATTCTTAATTAGATAATTATATTAATAAAACATTGCCAATGATAATTTAACACTCTTAATTGGATCATTCTATTAATAAAACCTGATAAAACATTGCCAATGATAATTTAATACTCTTAATTGGATAATTATATTAATAAAACATTGCCAATGATAATTTAACATTCTTAATTAGATAATTATATTAATAAAACCTAATAAGACATTGCCAATGGTAATTTAACACTTTTAATTGGATCATTATATTAATAAAACATTGCCAATGATAATTTAACATTCTTAATTGGATAATTATATTAATAAAACCTGATAAAACATTGCCAATGATAATTTAACACTCTTAATTGGATAATTATATTAATAAAACATTGCCAATGATAATTTAACATTCTTAATTAGATAATTATATTAATAAAACATTGCCAATGATAATTTAACACTCTTAATTGGATCATTCTATTAATAAAACCTGATAAAACATTGCCAATTATATTAATAAAACCTAATAAGACATTGCCAATGGTAATTTAACACTTTTAATTGGATCATTATATTAATAAAACATTGCCAATGATAATTTAACACTCTTAATTGGATAATTATATTAATAAAACATTGCCAATGATAATTTAAGATTCTTAATTAGATAATTATATTAATAATACCTGATAAAACATTGCCAATGATAATTTAAAACTCTTAATTGGATAATTATATTAATAAAACATTGCCAATGATAATTTAACATTCTTAATTAGATAATTATATTAATAAAACATTGCCAATGATAATTTAACACTCTTAATTGGATCATTCTATTAATAAAACCTGATAAAACATTGCCAATGATAATTTAATACTCTTAATTGGATAATTATATTAATAAAACATTGCCAATGATAATTTAACATTCTTAATTAGATAATTATATTAATAAAACCTAATAAGACATTGCCAATGGTAATTTAACACTTTTAATTGGATCATTATATTAATAAAACATTGCCAATGATAATTTAACATTCTTAATTGGATAATTATATTAATAAAACCTGATAAAACATTGCCAATGATAATTTAACACTCTTAATTGGATAATTATATTAATAAAACATTGCCAATGATAATTTAACATTCTTAATTAGATAATTATATTAATAAAACATTGCCAATGATAATTTAACACTCTTAATTGGATCATTCTATTAATAAAACCTGATAAAACATTGCCAATTATATTAATAAAACCTAATAAGACATTGCCAATGGTAATTTAACACTTTTAATTGGATCATTATATTAATAAAACATTGCCAATGATAATTTAACACTCTTAATTGGATAATTATATTAATAAAACATTGCCAATGATAATTTAAGATTCTTAATTAGATAATTATATTAATAATACCTGATAAAACATTGCCAATGATAATTTAAAACTCTTAATTGGATAATTATATTAATAAAACATTGCCAATGATAATTTAACATTCTTAATTAGATAATTATATTAATAAAACATTGCCAATGATAATTTAACACTCTTAATTGGATCATTCTATTAATAAAACCTGATAAAACATTGCCAATGATAATTTAATACTCTTAATTGGATAATTATATTAATAAAACATTGCCAATGATAATTTAACATTCTTAATTAGATAATTATATTAATAAAACCTAATAAGACATTGCCAATGGTAATTTAACACTTTTAATTGGATCATTATATTAATAAAACATTGCCAATGATAATTTAACATTCTTAATTGGATAATTATATTAATAAAACCTGATAAAACATTGCCAATGATAATTTAACACTCTTAATTGGATAATTATATTAATAAAACATTGCCAATGATAATTTAACATTCTTAATTAGATAATTATATTAATAATACCTGATAAAACATTGCCAATGATAATTTAATACTCTTAATTGGATAATTATATTAATAAAACATTGCCAATGATAATTTAACATTCTTAATTAGATAATTATATTAATAAAACCTGATAAAACATTGCCAATGATAATTTAACATTCTTAATTGGATAATTATATTAATAAAACATTGCCAGTGATAATTTAACATTCTTAATTAGATAATTATATTAATAAAATATTGCCAATGATAATTTAACACTCTTAATTGGATCATTCTATTAATAAAACCTGATAAAACATTGCCAGTGGTAATTTAATACTTTTAATTGGATCATTATATTAATAAAACATTGCCAATGATAATTTAACATTCTTAATTAGATAATTATATTAATAAAACCTGATAAAACATTGCCAATGATAATTTAACACTCTTAATTAGATCATTCTATTAATAAAACCTGATAAAACATTGCCAGTGGTAATTTAACACTTTTAATTGGATTATCATATTAATAAAACATTGCCAATGATAATTTAACATTCTTAATTAGATAATTATATTAATAAAACCTGATAAAACATTTCCAATGATAATTTAACACTCTTAATTGGATAATTATATTAATAAAACATTGCCAATGATAATTTAACATTCTTAATTGGATAATTATATTAATAAAACCTGATAAAACATTGCCAATGATAATTTAACACTCTTAATGAGATCATTCTATTAATAAAACATTGCCAATGATAATTTAACATTCTTAATTAGATAATTATATTAATAAAACATTGCCAATGATAATTTAACACTCTTAATTGGATCATTCTATTAATAAAACCTGATAAAACATTGCCAATGATAATTTAATACTCTTAATTGGATAATTATATTAATAAAACATTGCCAATGATAATTTAACATTCTTAATTAGATAATTATATTAATAAAACCTAATAAGACATTGCCAATGGTAATTTAACACTTTTAATTGGATCATTATATTAATAAAACATTGCCAATGATAATTTAACATTCTTAATTGGATAATTATATTAATAAAATCTGATAAAACATTGCCAATGATAATTTAACACTCTTAATTGGATAATTATATTAATAAAACATTGCCAATGATAATTTAACATTCTTAATTAGATAATTATATTAATAATACCTGATAAACATTGCCAATGATAATTTAATACTCTTAATTGGATAATTATATTAATAAAACATTGCCAATGATAATTTAACATTCTTAATTAGATAATTATATTAATAAAACCTGATAAAACATTGCCAATGATAATTTAACATTCTTAATTGGATAATTATATTAATAAAACATTGCCAGTGATAATTTAACATTCTTAATTAGATAATTATATTAATAAAATATTGCCAATGATAATTTAACACTCTTAATTGGATCATTCTATTAATAAAACCTGATAAAACATTGCCAGTGGTAATTTAATACTTTTAATTGGATCATTATATTAATAAAACATTGCCAATGATAATTTAACATTCTTAATTAGATAATTATATTAATAAAACCTGATAAAACATTGCCAATGATAATTTAACACTCTTAATTAGATCATTCTATCAATAAAACCTGATAAAACATTGCCAGTGGTAATTTAACACTTTTAATTGGATTATTATATTAATAAAACATTGCCAATGATAATTTAACATTCTTAATTAGATAATTATATTAATAAAACCTGATAAAACATTTCCAATGATAATTTAACACTCTTAATTGGATAATTATATTAATAAAACATTGCCAATGATAATTTAACATTCTTAATTGGATAATTATATTAATAAAACCTGATAAAACATTGCCAATGATAATTTAACACTCTTAATGAGATCATTCTATTAATAAAACATTGCCAATGATAATTTAACATTCTTAATTAGATAATTATATTAATAAAACATTGCCAATGATAATTTAACACTCTTAATTGGATAATTATATTAATAAAACATTGCCAATGATAATTTAACATTCTTAATTAGATAATTATATTAATAAAACATTGCCAATGATAATTTAACACTCTTAATTGGATCATTTTATTAATAAAACATTGCCAATGATAATTTAACATTCTTAATTAGATAATTATATTAATAAAACATTGCCAATGATAATTTAACACTCTTAATTGGATAATTATATTAATAAAACATTGCCAATGATAATTTAACATTCTTAATTAGATAATTATATTAATAAAACATTGCCAATGATAATATAACACTCTTAATTGGATCATTTTATTAATAAAACCTGATAAAACATTGCCAGTGGTAATTTAATACTTTTAATTGGATCATTATATTAATAAAACATTGCCAATGATAATTTAACATTCTTAATTAGATAATTATATTAATAAAACCTGATAAAACATTGCCAATGATAATTTAACACTCTTAATTAGATCATTCTATTAATAAAACCTGATAAAACATTGCCAGTGGTAATTTAACACTTTTAATTGGATTATTATATTAATAAAACATTGCCAATGATAATTTAACATTCTTAATTAGATAATTATATTAATAAAACCTGATAAAACATTTCCAATGATAATTTAACACTCTTAATTGGATAATTATATTAATAAAACATTGCCAATGATAATTTAACATTCTTAATTAGATAATTATATTAATAAAACATTGCCAATGATAATTTAACACTCTTAATTGGATCATTCTATTAATAAAACCTGATAAAACATTGCCAATTATATTAATAAAACCTAATAAGACATTGCCAATGGTAATTTAACACTTTTAATTGGATCATTATATTAATAAAACATTGCCAATGATAATTTAACACTCTTAATTGGATAATTATATTAATAAAACATTGCCAATGATAATTTAAGATTCTTAATTAGATAATTA